GCTGACTCTGTAAACCGCTTAGAGAGGGCTGAAAGCCCTATGAAGTGGTATATAAGTCTAACTGCTATTGCTATAACTACTAAGATTCTGTGCAATTCGGAGAACCCCCCAAATTCCACTCCTGGCTGGCCCCACCCACCCCTCCTTTCCCAGGAGACCCCATGTGGCCCATTTTGGATGCAGGTAAGTGCAGGGTGTGCACAAAGGCTTGTGGATGGTGAAAAATGGGCCTACTGGAATTTTAGGGAGACTGGAAACAGGCCCAATTCTGGCCTCCAGAGGGCCTCTGGAGCCTGGGGAGGCTATTTTCGCCCTCCCGGAGGCTCAAAGAAAACCTCCAGAGCACAGGGAGGCCCACTATGGCCACGCCCATGCAGAAACCAGGCAGAGAACCCCTTGCTAAAATTTTTGAAGCCCATCCTGATCAAGATACATTTATTCTAATTACATTGAAATAATTTGTGATTCACACTCAGAAGAGAAATAATGAATGGCAAGATGCTATCTTATCTGCCTTAGATCTCAAGTTTTAACAACTAAAAAGGACAAGAACATCTTTTTCAGAGCGACTTGAAAGGTAGCAAACAATTAGCCTGGAGAATGTTTTCTTTGATTTTAGTACCTTTAGAAAACAAAAATAAGTTTACCTACCCAATCACCACCACAGACCCATGGTGGCGTCCTGAAAGACATGACTGGAAGGAAGGTGACAATTTGGAGCCATCTAATATATAGCTCTTCATCAGTGAGAAATTCAGCCGAAAGTGTTCCACCTTTACAAAATATACAGAAAACTAAATTAGCAGACTATATATTCAGCTTCGGTATTCAGCTTTAATTTTGGATTCAGTAAATGAGTAATCTCTACAGTAAGTTGATAATATAATTCAAGTCATTTTAACACCACTTCTCTCTTCTTTTGATAACCAGGGCAGTATTAAAACACAGCATAATCAATATCATATCCCAGATTTATCCAGTGCTGAGATTCTGTGCTTTTACAGTCCCAATCCTTTATCTGCTAATACAGAAACCTGGGAAAGGGAGTGTGGGATAGGGGGCAGGGGAGGAAGCAGAATTGCTGTTAAAATCAGCATTTTTTTTTTTTAAAACGTGAAGATCACAAATAATAAAGGAGTTAAAACCAAGGAAGGCCTGATCCTATGCACATTTTGCCACTGATTAAATCTGAACAGAGAAAGTATTGCGAAGCATGTCAGAAAACTATAATGATTCTAGTGGAAAATAACATTTCTGACTATCTGACTCTTGAGAGAAAGCAATATAATTGGCCTGGATGGTTTAGGTCATGAAAAATTAAACTAATACACATTTCCAGCTGGACCTGTACAGTACTAATATAAATAGCTGAATTTCAGACAAATGACCCAGATAATTTCCTGTTAAAAGAAGGAAAATCTTTCATCTCCCTCTGTCAAACACATGCTTCACATTCATTTTTCAGGCAGCATTGCTCTTAAAAACCAAACCAGACAAAACCATAGGCATCGAAATGGTGGACTGATGATTAAATATTTCATACTTCTTTTATTTCTTTTTTCTTTTTTGCTAAACATTATATTCCTATTATCACATATTTATTGCATCTGGATCTGTTAAAGACCAATCCAACTCAACAGTTATTTTCACGTAAGCTACTAGAATTAAAGTATCATTGAGAGTCTATTCCAACAGTGCCTATCTCTTGACAACATCTCTAGTATCAAGACAATGATTTGTTAGTTAGTTATTTCTCATATTTCTGAACCACCCATCCCCCTCAAAGAGGAACTCTGGGAGGTGTACAATAAAAAATGAACACAATATATAAACATTAAACTGTTAGAATTAACAATTAAATATTCATTGTTTTTAGAAGGGAGAAGAATAATTAAACCCTGTTAAAAATTAATTAGAACGGTGAAGGAAGGTCTCTCAGGGAATCAACTAGTCTTACATCTCCCTGCTCCTTTAGGCTTCAAAAGTGAGACTGCAGAAGGGAAGGGCAGGAGAACTGGAAGCCTGTCTCACCTCTGCAGGAGAATATTCTGGAGGAGATGACAATTGGGAAGGGTCTTTTCCTAGATCCTACCAAGTTCTTTAACTGAGATGGTCTGCTACATACCTTCCCTGCCTGACCGGGTGGGACAGGCCAATGTAATAGGACCAAGCAGGTTCTGCAGGTAGCCTGGCTTTTATGAAAAATGAAGCCATGTTTTACAATACAAGGAAATTACTTTGTAATGCAAAATCGAATTATATCTGCAAGGAAGTTATTGCATGTCTCAAAGCAATATTTTATACATGTTCTGGGAATGGCCTATAAGAAAGCAAAATACAAAGAAAAGACAAACTTTTAAAATACTAGATGACTACAAGAGACTTGAAAAAGAATTACAGAAATCTCCACAAAAGAAGGACATTAAAGTAAAAATGGACACAATGAAACATAAAATGGGGCTAATGGAAAAGGAGGAATTAGCACAAAAATTAGAGGTGCTAAACAGAATTATTTTGAAGATGCAAATAAACCAGGCAGATGATTAGCGTATAAATTGAAAAAAGAGAGAGTCAAGAAAAATAATGCAACTAATGGATGATCAAGGGCAAATTTGCCATGGAAATGGAGAGAAGAAAAAAACTATACAAGATTACTATGGAAAATTGTATGAACAAGAGAATTGTCAGATCCCTAAAAGTGATACTGCCATTCAATTGGGAGGAGGGGAGCAACTTGTTTGCAACTTGTTTACAGAAACTGATAAAAGAGCCAAGGACATGAATTGTTTTCACAGGTGCCTTTGAGAACTATTTTGGCAGGGGAAAGA